CCCAGGAGTTGGAGGTTGCTGTGAGCTGTAATGCCATAGCACTCTACCCAGGGGGACAGCTTGAGGCTCTGTCTCAAAAAAAAAAAAAAAAAGAATTTCTTAAATTCTTTCTATGAATTATGTCATAAGCAACTACTGATTTATTTTTATTTTTTGTTTAAAAATTTTGTTTTAAGGCGGCTCCTGTGGCTCAAGGAGTAGGGCGCCGGCCCTGTAACCGAGTGTGGCCGTTTTGAGCCCAGCCCTGGCCAAAAACTGCAACAACAACAAAAAAAACCAAAAAAAATTATTTTAATAATAAGCATCTCATAAAGCCTGAAGAGTTCCTTAGGCTTTTCTTTTCAGAGATTTAAAATCAATTTATCATCAGCTTAAAGAGACCAATTATAGTATATTTAAAAGTGCAGGAAAAAAGATGCCTTTGCACTTTTTGCTGTTTTTTTAAGCTTTGTGTTCAGAAGCCAGTGATGCAATTTTCAAAAGCCATATTTTCTTGCGAATGTGGTGTATAGTTCCCCATGAATACATTATTTTACTCACTAATGTTACAGTATTTTCTTGTTTCAGAATCCTGTCCAAAAGATTCCTGATTCACATGAAATAACACTGAAGCATGGCACTAAAACAGTAAGTTCAAAAAATTTGGTTCTTCAAATAACAGAGCTTTCATGGAAAAGTGAACTAATAACATACATTTGTATTAAGGCTAATTACACAAGGAACTGATGTCATAAAAGTTGTTGACATTAAAAAATAGATTACTTTTTCAAAATAACTGTCTCCTGTCATTTAAAATAGGAACACTTATTGTCATTATTTTTGGCTTTGAAAGCTGTTTTTTTGATATTCCTATATCAAAAGTGGAAGAAAGAAATGAAATTCAAACATAGCTTTGTCTTTTATGGTGTGGGAAAATTTCTTCTTACCCTTAGTTTTTACTTCCATATCAGTAAAAGGCAGGAAATTATTTGTTTATCAGATGAATGTTTAAGAAGTGACCTTTACTTTATGTGTATTAGTTTATAGAATGCATCTTTAAATCATTATATTTACTTATATTATTTAAAGATGAATAATGTAAAATATTTGTGATATAAGATGAAATCATTGTATATTATTTCAAAGCATTAAAAAGTGGTAGCTGGATGAGTAAAATGTACATGTGAAATGAAGAAATTATCTTACTTTCTCTTTTCAGTGTAACATGTAAAGAAATAATAAAATATATCTCATAATTGGAGGGAAAACATAAATTTACATACAGCCAGAAATGTTGCAAATTGTAAAATTAATAAATAGTGATGTTAAAACACTGTCAGTCTTCTCACCAATTTTTTGAACTTCAGAGGACTATGATACAGAAACCTGTGCATATTAGCACTTGTGTCTTTGCTTGGTTGCAATATGCATAAATTTCAGTAACATGACTCAGTGCAAAGCAAAGACTGCCTGTGTTATAAAATCAACTTATGAGAGTGTTTAGTTCTAATAACTTAGAAGAAAATCAGTTTACCACAAGAATAGAGATATCTTTGTAGACTGTCAAGTATATTCCATTGGCTCGGCGCCTGTGGCTCAAG